GTGTTAATAGCGGAGCATACCCGACTGCTCCCCAAAGTCCAAGTAAGGTCACAGTGTCGGAGTCACCACACCGAAAAAGAACATCACTGAGGAATAACCAAGGGGCTCTCCAGACAATATCTCGGTCTTGAAGATGCGTAAAGACCTTCATCCATTTTCTTTTGAAGCGCCTTCATGCCATTTTAAGGTAATAAATTCACCTAGAGGTGAATAGGTGGTGCTGAAACGGCGGTAGGCAACCCCGTCAGTCTTCCAGAAGTGGCTGTGAATCCAGACCTGAAGGAGCTGAATGCACCCGGTGAATCTTCCTCCGCCAGTTCTTCGGCAATGGTTGAGCGATCGAAAGGTCTCAGCCAAGATGGCTGGTGCTGGGTTAACTCGTTTAGAAAGTTGCTCAAATATTCCACCACGGCAGCGTCAATGCACCCCAAAGCCTTCGGAAATATGATTAAACCGTACAGACCCAGTGCAAAAAGGTCTATAGTCTTCCACTCATCAGGGTGGTTTTTCATTAGTTGCTTTATATGGATCCATTCGATTCCTTCCCCGCTACCTTTGTGCCGGAGTCGATCAGTCACCCACTTTCATCAACCCCTGCAATCTTGGCCAGTCCGTTCTTGAAGGGCTGACTCTTGATATGTTTAATATATGCCCTCTCTAGTTTGATGCTTTCGCAGTGCAATAGAGTAGTATACTCTTCGATAGTAGGCACCATGTCTTCCTGGTTAAAGGTGAAACTATATCCCGGGTTCCAGAATTGAATTAATGCTCGGAGCAAGGGCTCATCAGCCTTGACATGGAGCAAGAGGGCGATATCACCATATCGTTGGCTGAACTTCTGCTTTCTGTCATTCTTCCAACTGTCCCAAATGTTTCGCAGCTCTTGGACATTATTCTGTTTCAGGCTAACAGCGGCATAACTAACCAGTTCTGACACATAGTTTCCCTGAAGACTGTCTCCCTTCTCCTTCTGAGCCTTCTCGGACCATAGTCGTGCCTCAGCGTTTTCAATCTCTTGTATTACAACACCTTTGTCCATTAATTCGAATTATTTTGTGTATAACAAACGCTTTTTAGGGATCAATAGCCTCTTGTAATGATGCAAATGCTAGAAAACAAACACAAAGGCAAAAACGTTAGTAAAATAAGAATACAAATAAAAAAAATGACGGAAGGAAAAAAACGCAACAAAAACATGGTTAGGGTAAAAAAAATCCTAAGTTTTGGAACGTGGTTTCGGGGTAGGCTCTAATTCTTCATGGTCTCCCGGTTTAGGTTTTAAAAAACGGTACCCGAGTTTTCCTTGTCGGTGCCCCCTTGGGCTTGCCAGACCCTTAGTCCTAAGCCCATCACAGGCTTGTATGGACTAAGTTAAACTCGAGGGGACACATTCCCTTATGCCCGCACGGTGAATAAATTCACACGAAGACATAAGGTGTATGAATCCCGAAGGCTGCTTGCTAGGCCCGCACGGTGAATAAATTCACACGAAGGCGTCGCTTTCACCCCCACTTAAAATAGGGTTCGGAGCTCGGGTATAGAGCCTTTGGATGAAAAAGTTTGGAAAGCTGAAATCATTAGAAAACGGTCAGTCCAACTATTTACTCGAAAAATATAATCAAAAGTAAGCAATAAGGATCGAAATTTTACCTTAAAATTTATACTTACCCTTTTCGTTAAAAAGACAACTGGAAATTACCTTAGCCTGACTCACTTACCTAGGTCCCCAGCGGAGTCGCCAAGCTGTCGGAACCGTCTTTCGGATGGGCCCCGGAATTGGGCTTCGACTTGAAAAATGTGGATTGGAGTCGCCACCGATCATTTATTTTAAAATAAATGGGTTGATCGGATACCCTATTTCTTACCTGATCTGCGTCTTACCGGAAATATGTCGGGCTCGGGAGTCGATTACAGCCAAGGAAGGATTAGCACCCTTGAACTGCCCTTTCGGTACTATGTAATTTCCAGTTGTCTTTAATTAAGAGAATTGAAAGTTAAACTAAAAGGTAAAAACACCGATCTGAACTACTTACCCTTGATTGATTGAAATTCCCTTAACAATACAGACGTTAAAGAACAAAAATAAAAAAATGAAAAATAAGGGAAACAAGAATGAAGATAAAAATAGTGAAAAAAAGGGTTAATAGCAGAGTAAAATAAATAAGTGAAACATTGATAATCTACATACAACCAACGAATAAATAAATTACAATGAATAAAAAGATGATCATCAAAGAAATAAAAACAAAGTAAAGAAAAGGTAATCGAATAAAATATTTGAAATGTACACATAATAATAATAGATATATATAAACTATTACAAGTATATACATAGATATATATATATATATACATATATATTAAAATATAACATTAAGCAAAAATAATCAATGAAGAAAAAAAAGTATACGTATATAATAATAATAACGCAAATATATATATATATAAATTAGTAAAAAGAAGATAATAGTAATATTTAAATTAAAAATAATATATACGAATATAATAATTTGTGAAACACAACAAAAAGTATTAATAGAAAAGACGAAAAAATACAAAAATATAAATAGATAGGTAAAAAAAAATACATCCATAAAAATATAACAACAAAGAAAATAAAAAAAGCAAATATGAGTAATATATATATATAAATAGCATGTAATAGAAGAAAAATAAGTAATGTATATATAAACTAAATAGGAATATATTATAGTGTAAATAAATAAAAATCCAAATACCTATGTATAAAAGAGCAAATACGAGATATATAAATATATATAAGTATAAAGGGGTAAAATGAAACAAAATAAAGTTAGATGGCAGAATCAGAATATAACCAAGGGAATTAAACCGATTTGGGGACCAAATTAAACGTTTTTTAAAACAGAGGGAGCCAAAATGAAGTTTACCCAACCGGTTTGGGGACCAAATTGAATGTTTTTCAGAACATAGGGAGCCAAATGAAGTTTACCCCTTTTAACAAAACACGCGGATCCTTCCCCGGGTCGGGTTGACGCGCGGGTCACCGCACGGGCTATGTATAAAGCCCAAAAACCTTTTTTCTCTTCATTTCTCCCTTCCTCGCCCGAGAGCTCCCCTCTCTTTCTCTCGTCTCCTTCATTTGTTCATGCGTGTTCTTCAGAAATGAAGAACACGCCGCCGTAAATCCCAGAAATGGCCACACGCCGCCTCGCCGGCCGCCGTTGGTCGGCGCCGGCCACCGATCATCGGCGGCAAACCCATAAAAAATTGGTTTTTCTGAAAGCCTTTCTCCCCTTTGACTCAAATCTCAAACCTTTTTTTTGAAATAGGCCTCGGGTTTCCGTAGATCTATACAAACGATCTCGAATGAAAACACCTTTTCATCGGCCAAAAGATTTTTTTCAACTCAAAACAACACGATGGACGATAAATTTGACGTGCAAAGGATCAAGCGAACCAAAAGGTAAACAACTAATATACCTCGCTTTTATTTCTTGTTTCGAAATGTTGTACAAGTGTTCTGACTTTCTTTGTGCTTGCTATGGTGACTCTCTGTGTGTATTCGCCGTAATCTCTCCCTAAAAAAAAACCCCCCTCTGTGTTGATTACATGCGTCTATTTATAATACAAAATATTGTCCTATTTTTAGTGTTTTAATCCGAGTGAAACTCGACTTGTTGGTTGTTTGGAATCCCACTAACACACGCTGCTTTGCTTGGTGTCTCATGTGCTTACGTTTATTGGTGGTTGTTTGGTGGCCGAGAGTCTTGCGCCGGAGAACTCGGATCCATTGGAGAGAAGAAACGTGCAGCCATGGGAGTTGAAGGAGAGAACGGCGCTAGGGTTTCTGGAAACCCTAGCCTATTGGTCACGTGCCTTGGGCTGCTGAGGCGTTGGATCTGGGTCACCTGTATTTGGGCCGTTTGTTATCATTTTATTTGTAAAGGGCCTGTAAAAAAAAAAGAAAAGAATTTAAGTATGTATATTATGTAATGTGGTTAGAAATTATTATATGAAATAACATTATTTAAATCTGATGAAATTTAGTGTCTTCAGGAGGACTCAAATTTAAATTTTTCAAGGGAATATTATTGGAATAAATAATAGGGTAAAGTACACAAATGGTCCCCTAATTATGGGATATTACTTTATTGAATCATTTGATTATTAAAAATTACAAAAGGATCTATTCGACTATAGGGAGTTGCTTTGTTGAGTCTATTGTCTATTAAAAGTTATAAAATGGTTACTTGACTATTCATTATATTTCGAAATCATTCTTTTATCGTTAAAAATTAACGGTCGTCTGAGTTGGATGTTAACATGTTGATTGAGATATGATATTCGTTTGAGATTATAAAATCATCTTTAATCATATCTTAGTTAACGTGTTAATGTACAACTTAGATTGTCATCAAATTTTTAACAATAAAGATGAGTTTGAAACATAATGAACAGTCGAGTGATCATTTTGTAACTTTGAATTGTTAAAGGACTCAACAAAACAACTCCCTATAGTTAAAGGACCATTTTATAACTTTTAATAATCTAAATTTAATAAAACAATATCTTATAGTCAAACAACCATTTGTATACATTCCCTAAATAATATAAACTCTAAATATAAATATTAAAAGTAACATAAAAAAAATTAAGGCCCAACGTTTAGATGGGTGAATCAACATACATCACTTCCAAATTATATTTTGTTCACTCAATTTTATTAGTTCAATTTGTTCACAATAAAACTAAATAATAATAGTTTTCTGGATTTGATAAAATTGCTTTTGGTCCTCAAATTTTGAACATTTCATTAATATGCCACGATATAATTTTATTTTTATTTAATTAAAATTAATAAATGAGAAGTCATAAACTGATAATTTAGTAACATGAATAATCATAATGTAACTTTTCAAATAATAGTGACAAATGTATAAAATTACTCAAACAACAGTGACTTGTAGTTTATCCATTCAAAAAGTACGGGAAAAAGATAAAAAGGGGGTTTGCGGGAAACCTGAATTTTGTCTGAAAATCGAACATGGCGAGCGCGAATCCACCATCGTCTCCACCTCCACCTCCGCCATCGTCACCACCACCTCCGTCACCACCACTGCCTTCATCACCTACCCTCATCCCTTGGCATTATGAGTCCTCCCCTGCCGTTCCCTCCGATCTTGTGCCCCCTCAGACCCTGCCTGATACTGCCTTCAACGAAAATGGAACGTTCAATGTCGATGAAAAGAAGCCTCAAATTGTTGATTATTTTGCGTGAGTTTGTTTCTTCTAATATTCTTAAATTTGAATTTTTTTTCTGGGTTTTTCTTTATATACCTTTCCCTATCAGTGTTTGGCCTACCCTTTATAATTGTTCTATTTTTGTTTCAGTTTGGGTAGGTTTTTCTATGTCACCTTTACTCTTTCTTTTCATTGGTGAAATTTCTAAATTCAGATAAAATTCTACTGAAGAACTTGGAAGTAATTGCTTCATTGTAACTTTGATTGAACCCAATTCTGGAACAGTAATTTTCAGTTTAAGTGAATGATTTTTGAAGGGAAAACAAAGCATTAAACTTGATTCAGTTGGTGGTATATAACATCTTTTGTATATTTGGATTATTTTTTTAAATCAAAAGATAAATATGAAATTAGGAATTTAATATTTTGTCAAATTTGATGAATTATATAAAGCAAACTTATTTAATGAGTAGTTGTGATCAATAGAAGAAAATTCTCCTCGTTGGTGATTTGGTTAAGTTAGATACCAGAGAGTGTGGTTTATTTGGGTCGAGTTATAAATGCCTTTTCTAAGCCTATTGTCGGTGCAGGTAAAAATCAGCTTCTGAATCTAGTTAATTGAATCGCCTGCACCGGGTATTATTTTGTGATGTTTTCCATTTATGATCCTATTGATGGATGCAGTGAAATTTCAGCTTCTAGTTCTAGACCTTGGTTAATTGAATCTCTTGCCACAGTATTATTTCTAGACGTTTTCTGTTTACGAGCCTCTTCAAACCGAGACTTGTTGATATCAAATCAGTGATTCCAATAGTACATAGTCAGTGAGAATTATCAGGGGTAAAAGCTATCTCCACAAACTGCCTATTAGTTCACCAACGCCTAGTAGTTCTTAAAATGTGAATGAAGTCTCGAGAATAGGTGACCTACTATTTCTCTGCAGTTTTTGAAACTTGTTCCAGGAGGCGAAGCTTACAATTTCATTGAAATGAAAATGGTCGATGAAGGTTTGCCGTTTATATATTGAATTTTCCAATACAGTTCTTTTGATCCTTTCGTGCCCTGTGTTTCCAGCGATAGAAATGGAAAAATATTTGTTTCCTTTTCCAGGAAATGATTGTTAGAATTGTTGTATTTCGGTCATATCAATGTTTTACTTTCTTTCGTGTTATGACTTCTGCTTTTGGTTCAAAAAGGTTTTCAGTTGTATGTAGTACTGATTTGCGGTACAAATATAGAAGATTTATAAGTCTGTTGTAGGGGTATCTTTTGTTTGAACTATGTAATGCTAGTATTCATATTCTAGGTAGATTACAGGACAATATATTGCTGAATTATATTCTTTTGGGTGTGTAAATCTTGACTAATTTGTAGTTCGAGATTTTGTTGTTCCGACACTTCAGTTTTCTTGAAATACTCTGTCCTGCACATTTTTGGGTGTAGGTATGGGATATAACCCTCCAAGGTCCCTCCTAACATATGAAAAGATCTTAGAAAAAAAATTAAACATACCCGTGTCAGACATATACCTGCATTTTAAACTTGCACCGAGTCTCAGTAAGGTAAGTTATTGCTAATGCTAGAGCGATCATGTTACTATGTATTCTTCGAATTGCTTAGAATATATTGCAAATCCAAAGTGACTGAAAATGATCGGCGGTGCTTTTCATGCATTGGTATGTATGCTCTCTGAATCACACCTTGATTAAACGCATAAGAAGCAAATACCTTGATGTTTCCAGGAGATTGGAGCAAAATCTTATAAATGATACTCGTAATTTTGTCATGAATGAACGCACTGCCTAGAGAAAGAGTCGTTTAATCCGTACATCAATCATGTAGTCGTGTTGAGCTTGGGTTAGCATCTTGAATATTTTCTTTGTACTATTAAAAGAGTGATTCTATTTTGATATGCTCCCATTTGGCTAGGATACTGGATGATCCGGAACACAACGAGAAGTACCAGAAATACGAGGCAGACTACACTCGTCGGTTGTTGGCAAAATATTTCTCAAAGAAGAATTTCTATGGAGGTATACATTGCTTCTCCTATTTTGCTCTGCTTCGAACTTTACATGGTATTCTCCAGTGCGATATGCATATAGAAAGGAACAATTCAAACATGATTCCTATTGTTTTTATTCTTTCAGGCAACATTTTTGACGACAAAACGACTATAGATAACGAAACCATATTATCGAGCCGGTACGGATGAACTTTCTCTCAACACTTTCATTTGCTTTGAAATCTCTGTTGCCGAAACACTAAATGGATACGCCATTCTAACTTCTTTTGTGTAGGTGGCCTTGCACTAGATCATTTGCAGACCCAGTTCATGCATCCGAAGATTCCGGCAACGGTGGTTCCGTTTCCGAGCCACAAACTCTAACGAACATGTCAAATGGCAAACTTTCACTCAAGAAGAATGGCTGATACTTGGACACCCTAACAATCTGGTTTTTTTTTCCCACTTATCGGATCCAAATGTCCATGCAGTATGTGCACACGTGTTTAGAATTAATGCTCAAGTAGTTTTTTTTTGTCTGATGGAAGGACCTAATTGAAACATATTGATAGTTTGAAGGTTTGATTAGAATGTTTTAAAGTATAGGGACTCATTTAAAATTTAGGCAAAACACAAAGATGCCAATCATACATCAAAAAACATGGAAGGCCGAGATCCTCCAACTTGTAAAATTTATAAACATGTATTGGCCCATGTCTACATGACAACCACATATCCATAAGCCACACGACTCGAATCGAAGCGGCCCCGTCAATGAAAAATAAATTCGGTTTATATATTTTTTATACAAATTTATCATATTCAAATTGTTTTAAATGGCTAAAATCAAAAAGAATTATTGTTAGAATTATTGTTATTCTTGAGAACCCGAATTCGAGTACCATAAATATTAGAAGTGTGAACAATCATTGTCAAAAGATTAAGAATTTATCTTTAAATAGATGTTATTTTTTATTTATCATAGATTAATAAAAAAATTATTTAAAATAATTATATTTGAATATATTTTAATTTGAAAAACACACACACACATATATATATATATATATATATATATATATATATATATATTTATTTATTTATTAAAGTGACCTTAATTCTATAAGCTTAAATTAACGTAAAAGCAGAATTAATTCAGGGATAAAACGAAATGTTATTTTTTTAGAAATGTGTGTGCGTTCTTAATTAGTACAAATTGATATATTAAATTTAGATTTAATATAAAAATAAGTATCTAAATTATGTTCAAAATTGACTTTTGGTGTCTAAAGATTTTTTGTTAAAAATATGCGCTTAATGTTTTTTCGTCACAATTTTAGGTGTATACTATTAAAAAATCGTTAAATGACATATGTCACATTCAAATTTTATTTAAAAATTATTTTAAAATAATATTTTATTTAAAAAATATATACGTGACATGTGTCATTTAACGATTGACACCTAAAATTATAACAGAGAAAATATTAGACATTTATTTTAACAAAAAAATCTTTAGACATCAAAAATCAATTTTGAGTATAGTTTAAGTACTTATTTGTATTAATCCTTAAATTTATTATTCTTTTTGAAATTATTATAGTATAAATAATATATTATAGTAATTTAATATTTATTTTATAATTTTTAAAAATTTAATCATCAAATTTAAATATAATTTAGTGGTTTTTAACGTACTTGATTGATCTTTTAATTATGAATTGTAAATTGTATTAAAGCCCGATTTGGACCCAAACCCAGGTGTAATAATCATCACACAGCACAGCAGTTTGCACTGATTCTCAAAACCACTTGCAGAAATCTTCTAAAAACCAGGGGAAAAAGAATTACACCCAAAATATACCAAAAAATGTTCTCAGAGATCCAAAAAGTAACGGATAAGGCCATGGTATTTCTACAGCAGAAAGCACTTTCTGCTTTGTATATTCCAAAGCAAAAGCTACATATGGCTATGAGCAACACCAATTCTCCTAAAGTGCAGCTTCTTTATGATCTCTGCAAATCCACTTTTACACCTTCCGGCTTGTCTTCTGCTCCTCCTCAGCCCGTCCACAAACTCTGCTCTCTTCTGGGTTTTTTTTTTGTTTCATTATTACCCTTCCCCTCCATTTTGCTGATTTTTTTTTCATATTTTTTTTGTGTGTCAAAGTCTGCGTGGATTCTGCATGTGGGTTTTGTTTATTGTGATGTTTTATGTGAAAGTTTGGGTTGATTAGGGTTTTAGAATGGAGAAAAATTGAATCTTGTGAATGTTTTTGAGTTGTGTTGAGCTGGCTTATTGGAGAAAATTTGTTGTTTTTTTTAGCTGAATCAACTATAATTGTAGAAGTTATGGGCAGATTATAGTCGAAATGTTTATGTTATTTTTTCTTTCAATTTATGTTGTTTTTTTATGTTCTTTGTTAGATCTCGGTTTTGTGGTTTAGTGTTGTTGAATAAGATGGTCTTCAAGAGTGAAAGATGTTTGTTTGGAGACTAATGTCGCGTGATGAGTTTCGTAATGTGTCGGGGATTTGATTCTTATTCATCTGACTATGGTATGATGGCTTTAAACAATTGATTATTGAATCGGATTTTGATGTTTGTTGATGGTGATGATTTTCAGTCAGGTAACCTCAACTGCCTAATCCAAATGTGGAAAAGTAAGGTGCTCTTTGTTTACTTCAGAATTATTAAGCGCTGAATGATTCAGAGACTATGAATGTGACTTGTTGTTTGATAACTGGCTCTGAATGATTCAGAATGTACTTCTGTCAGTCAGCATTGAATCATTCTGAGGTGATAAACAAACGCACTGAATATTGAACGATTCAGCATTCAATGCTGAATAAACAAACAGCCCCTAACTCTTAGAGATATTTTACATGAGAATCTGTCGTTTATTTACCGAAAGTAAATAAACCCTTACAGCGCATGCCATTAGATGTTCTGTGTTTAAATTTTTAAAGTAGTTGTAAACTGGCTTAGAGTATCGGTTCAGCTTCTTATAGTTTCCGATTTACACAAAGATGCTAGAAATATTAGGAATCATGTCCAACACATATCTTGCCATGAGTATGGGGATATGATCCTCTAAGGACGCTCTAAAGACATGGAAAAACTTGAAAAATCCTTATCAGACACATATCTATACCCCACACTCGCGTCCAAATCAGAGTATCATGGGCGACCAATTTAATTGTAGATTGACAAAGATGAAATGAGGAATGAGTAGTAGAAAATCTGGCAAGTCAATTGCAATATCTAGTATTTCTGATTAGTTCAGTCTTGAATTCCCATTTGTCTTACATATTATAATGTCTAAACGGTATTGGATCATAATCCTATAGGTAATTGGCTTTCCAAAGTTTTGAAGTCGATGGAACTCATCCGTTTTTGTGTGTCAATTCTAATGAGTGATATTGCTACTTTATAAGAATGGAATTATGATTAATATTATTATTTTATATATGCCATTTTACAGACACAATTGTCCCTGCTGATGTTGGAGTTAAAGAGGAAAGTCCAAACGATGATCGGGGGCATGGATTTTTTGGACTGAATAGAGTGGCTCGATGGGCTCAACCAATAACCTATGTGGACGTTCATGAATGTGATAGTTTTACGGTGAGCCTTACAATATAAATCTTATTTACACTTACGTTTCCTTGCCCCTCTCTTCGGAGTTTCATATGACTAATCCTCCTCCAGATATTTTTTTCTTTTCAAGGTTTCCATTTCAGGTCTTACATGCACCTTTCCATTGCGTCCATGTCCATGAGGTTGTAGTTATATAGATATAAAATTTTAAATTGTTTCTTTTTCTTGCTTTTGTGTTTCCGTAGGCCTCTTTTGGAGGTACGGATACCACAACATTAGTACCCGTTTTTGAGCCGCTTCTGAACCAGAGTTTGTTTAAAACCGGATGGAAAAAAAATCATATTCTTAATGTTATACTATCTTTGTACTTTACTCCTAGTTTCTTGAACAAAGTATGCTCTATGCAGATGTGTATATTCTGCTTTCCTACTTCTGCTGTTATTCCATTGCATGACCATCCTGGGATGACTGTATTCAGCAAAGTTCTTTACGGGTCAATGCACGTGAAGGCTTATGATTGGGTTGAACCAGCATGCATTAAGGAACGCCAGGAGCCAGGTTGCCCTCAAGGTTTGGTTTCAATCTACATTCTTTTAGTAACAATTATCATGACATCTTGCTGGTAATGAAAGGTGATTTTAGTTTGGTTATTTTTAGTAAAACCACCCATCAAGACTGCCAACCTTCATTCAATGTGTGGAAATGGTATATAAGAACATTTGATACCATCAAATAGCTCAGTTACAACGTAGAAAGAAGAGAGATATACTGAGTTTTTCTTAAAACCACAAGTTCTTTTAGGCTATGTTACGGGCGGGCGTCAAGTACGGATTTGATTAATCTTTTTCTTAGTTTGCATGTATTTGGAGGGTCTCTAAAGTCATATTCCCCCTATCATATGAAGTATTTGTCGGACAGGAGTTATTCAAGAAAAATTGAGTCGGAGCAACCTAGCTGCGGGATTATCTTGCATTACTTTCCTGACCATGATCTTCATGAACTGGCTGCTTGTCTTCTCAACATTCTCTTTCTCATGATAAATAGTTTTTTCTTTTTAAAAGTTGGTTGAGATTATAATGCTCTGTGGTTTCAGATCGGTTCGTGTTAACTCAGTATGATTCTGTTTCTTTTAAGTCAGAAACTTATTACAGAATTTCTTTTTGGCAGTAAGGTTAGCAAGATTGGTGTCCGATAAAGTTTTAACTGCACCATGCGGAACCTCCGTTTTGTACCAGAAAAGTGGGGGAAATCTGCACTGCTTTACCGCTGTCACCCCTTGTGCAGTGCTCGATGTACTTGCTCCTCCTTACAGAGAAGATCTAGGTCGAAAATGCACTTACTATGTCGACTATCCGTATTCCACCTTTGGTAAGTTAACCGATCGTGTGGAAGTTTTATTTTTTTTCGACTGAATGTCTTGAGAAAGTTCGGTCGTAAATAACCAAACTTGTTAAAAAGACTCATTCTGCTGATTCTGCAGGAAATGGAGCTCGGATAAGCAACGGAAAGGAAGAGGAGTATGCATGGCTTGCAGAAATCGAAACACCGGACGATCTATACATGCGATCAGGTGTATATGTCGGCCCATCTATTCGGGTTTAGCTTTCCGTGCGGCAACTCTTCGGCAGCGATTGGTAGATAGTATGATGTTAGATCAGTTCTTTGGCCTGAAACCCATGGAAAGCTCTGAGAAGACAGCCATGGCCTTAACCATTAACCACATGCAAATAAGAAATGCTCATTCAATGAGGTCAAAACTGTAACCTTAAAAGTTGTACAATCTCAAAATTTCTCAGTAGGCTGTATGATCAGTGATCTTCACCTTTCACTAGCTACGTTGATGTTTGCTCGAATCCTTCAATTTTTAATTAATTCTAAAACTTTAACGCTTTTGTGGTTGAAAAAAGTATTTTTCGATTGCAGAGAAAGAGAGGATTAAATTAATATTTTAGTTAAATTATAAATTATCTTTTTTTGTGCACATAATCGATATTACTAAAAATAACGTTCGAGTGAGTGACCATTTTACGATAAATTGATTATAAGTGAGCAAAATATAACTTTTGAAAGATAACGGATTAAAATAAAAAATCAGACAAAGTGATAAAAATGTAAACATTACTTTAAATTAAAGGATAAAGTCTACTAAAGATCATTGAACTATACTTAAATGATCATTTTGGTCATAAATTATAAAAGTCATTAAATTTATCAACCTACTACAAATGATCACTATAATGTTATAATAGTTGTAACGTTTCGATAAAATTCAATACACAGTATATAATAATTTGATAAATTCGATGATCATCTTGTTAAATTTAAAAATTTGGTAGCTAAAACAATTATCTAAACATAATCTATTAACCTATAATATAATTTACCCTAATTAAACTAAGACTAAGTCGAGTGGTTCAAACTCGACTCATCAATGACCATAAAAAAACTACGTTAGTTTTTCTCAAAAAAAAACGTTAGTTATAAACAGAAAAAAAATTCTGTTTTTTCCGTTAAGCTAACTGAAAAAACTGCCAAATTAAATTTTATACACAGATTTCTTTCTCTTTCGTTGCTTCTCCCCATCTCTCTTATAAACAAAATCCTTTAACAAATTCAAAAAAGAAAGGAAAGGAAAAGAAAAGAAAAGAAAAGAGACGACGAAGAAGAAGAAGACGAGATTTGTGATTGAACAAAGGAGGAAACGATGAATTGCATCTGCAATTGCATATTAGGACTGCTAAACACCGCATTGCTCTCATTAGGCATATGCATATTAGCTTCCGGCGCCTACCTGAGCGTCAAAGACACCGACGACTGCGGCAAAGCTTTAACCGATCCGCTTCTGGTGATCGGCAGCCTTCTGCTGCTACTTTCGATCATAGGTCTAATGGCAACCGCATGCAGCAGCAGCATCATCATGTGCGTTTACTTGATCCTCTTGTCCATCCTGATAGTCGGCGTCTTCGGCTTCACCATCTTTGTCTTCTCCGTCACCAACAAAGCCGTCGGCCAAGTCTACGACCATGGTGAGAAGTTGGTGCAGACGAAGAAGCCGTCGGGGTTGTCGAACTGGTTGGACAACAAAGTGAACAATGAGGAAAACTGGAAGAAGATAAAGAGCTGCCTCATCAATTCTGGGGTTTGCACCGCCGAGGAACACACCGTTGAGGCTCATTTTAGTTTTATGATGTTTGTCAACAAGACCTTCCCTACGGCGGCCAACGGTAGCCTCACCACATTGAAGGTATACAAATATAAAATTTGTTCATATAATTTATATCCGGGATTAAATATTGACAAAGTCGAATATCAAACCTTTTAAGAAAAATACAATAGCTTGTTAAGTATTTAAACTCAAAGCCATCTCTAAAAGGTCGTAGCTGCATGAAGCAACGGTTAAGATCTGGGTTTTTATGACAGCTTTAATCGTTTTTCAGGCCGGATGTTGCAAGCCGCCGAATGTATGCGGGTTCACGAAGAAGAGCGATACATACTGGGAAATCCCGAAAAAGGGAGCATTGGCGAATTCGAACAACGAAGACTGCCCGAAGTGGAACAACGAAGAAAGGAAGCTCTGCTTCGACTGCCATACTTGCAAAGGAGGAGTTATCAACAACCTTGCCAAGGAATGGAGGCTATTGGCACAGTTCAATATGATACTTTTATTAGTCTTAACTTTCATTTATATTCTTGGCTGTTGTGCTTTTTGCTTCTAATAGTTTATAGAACATAAAATATTATATTTTAAAATAATTAAATTATAAAAAATATAAAATAATAAACTCAAACACACACACACACACATTGTATTGTAAAATCATGGGTGTACATGTAATGCTATTTTATAAAACAAAAGTATGTGACTTTTCTGTTATTTTTTATTACTTTGAGGGTTTTATTGTGTATTTCATTATGAATTAATACAATGGTAAAATTACATTTTGGCTCCCATCAAAAATTATAATTCAATTTCAGCACTCCCACGAAAATTTTTCTGACTTCACCTACAAGGAAAGTAGCTAAACAGCAGGGAAGAAGCAAGTAATATCATAATCCAAAGGCAATCCAATCCACAAGGTGAAAAGTAAATCAAAATGAAATGTGTAGTAACTCCTAATATGATGCCACAAGTCTAGTAGCACGTTCGATTTCGATTATGAAAGTTCGAGTGTTAGACTAGAGAGTGAATATCATATTCTACTCGTACCCGGAATTGCGTTGGACTCGTGTATGTAAAGTAGAGAATCCGTGTAACATACCGTGCGAGTCGACGGTTTAGATCAGTAACCTGTAATCGCCCCGATTATTTGTTTCCTTGGCATCCCAAAATCCAATGTTTAGCCAATTCTCTGTAACAAGTCAGCTGTCATTCGTTTGGCCATCCGGTTATAGCATCCCATGCTATCGTCTTGGAAGTAGATTTGTCGCCGATTTTCAGATTGCCGCACACTTAGGAAGATCCAATTCCATCTACGTGCCTTTGCTAAGTGGCTAGCTTCAGAATCGTTACAAAGCAGATGATTGCTTTGATCAACCGATTACACTCAGTGACCACCACCAAGTATCCCATTCTGTGCTCTCTGAAGTGGCTCTTGCAGTACAAATCAGAAGATTGCCTTGATCAAGTGACACCAATATTCACCTGTGAATTGCGACTTGTTCTCACCTGTGAACGGCACGAACTTTCTTCAACGTTGAACTCGTAGGATTGGAGAGGCCATCCATCAAACTATTATATGTAGCGATGTCGGGTATAAATCCTTTATCCAACATCTCATCCACCAAATTTTCACCTTCCTTTCTTCTTCCATCTCTCGTATATCCATACACAAAATGTTACAAGTCATGTCATCTGGTTCTAAGCCCTTTGTTGAAGCCAACAATCTAAATTCATCCACATCCGTCGTTCTTCCCAAATCACAGAGATCTTGCATAAGACAATTAAAAGTCACGATATCCGGAACAATGCGTCTTTAAGCATCTTTTCCATCAATTCAAACGCATCATCTCTTCTCTGGGATCTCCTCAAACCTTCTATCAAAGTGGTACAGGCAATCAAACTCGGAACATTTCCGTTCATCCATAACACATTAACCACCCGAAATGCCCTAGCGACATCGGCTTCACCACAAAGCTTCTCAACCAAACCACAATAATCAAACCCCTTTGGCAGAAGTCCCTTCCTAGAGAAATCGATGACCAAATCCGATCCCTCCGAAACCGCCCCTCCTTACACAATCCATTGAAAAAAATCTCGCAAGTTGCCAATGAAGATCCGCAACCGGACCGAATCATCTAGTTTGCCATCTCAATAGCTTCATCGACCTTCCTTTCTCTGAAAAACCCTTGAATCAAAGTGTTGAAACTAACCACATTAGGCCTACAGCCTTTCTCGTCCAATATCCCTAAACTGCTTCAATCCCAATTCAAATTTCCCATTCCTACAACAACCACTAATCAGAGTATTAAAAGTACACACATCCGGCTTCACTCTGTCAATTTCCATCCTCTTATAAAACCTCAAAGCCTCCTCAAAATCCCCATTTTTCAAATACCCATTAATCAAAAGGTTGTAAATAACAACACCAGGCCTCCCATCGATCAATTTCATGGTTTCGAAGGCAAAAACAGCATCATCCAACTTCCTAGATCTACAAAGTGTTAAAAAAAATCCTCCAACCTAAAAATTTAAGGTAAATTACGTATTTAATACATAAACTATCGATTAAGATCTATTTTAGTAACTAAGCTTTTAACTTATCTTTCCGTCGATCACACCTAATCAAACGAAATACAATCAATAAAATCCAACAAAAAAAAAACAAAAGAAAATGTAAAATAAAGGATAAGAACTTACAAGATAAAAAACCAAAGAAAATCAAGGAGAACTGATAAGAGAAACAACAAAAAGAAAGAAAATTGGGGATTTAGAAGGGATTAATAGGTTAATGGTCAAACTTAACGATCCATCATTGTTTGACTCATTTTAAGTAATAGAATAAAACGATAAGTATCACACTGGAAAGAAATAAAAATTAGATACTAAACTGGAGAAATATACATACATAAATTAGACACATTTTGTATACTTAAGCTTTTAGGATAAAATACGCAAATAATCTCTTAATTATAAAAAAATATTTTTATTGAGTTTCTTACTATAAAAATGTTAAAAATAATCCTCTAACCTAAAAAATTTAAGGTGAATTATGTGTTTAATATATAAACTAACATTTATGATATGTTTTAGTAACTAATATTTTACCATTTTTAAAATCATACATAAAGTTTAGTTTTTATTTCATTTTAGTATATCTATTCAAAATTTATTGTTAATTTTTTGAAAAAAATGAAATTTTAAGTACTGAAACAAATCAAAACTGATAGTTTAAGTACTAAACGCGTTAAGTTTTTAACTGTGAGATACTAAAATGAAATAAAAACTAAACGTTAGGTATATTTTTAAAATATTAAAAATATAAGTATTACAACATATAAAAACTGATAGTTTAGGTACTCAATGCGTAGTTTACTCAAAAAATTAACGATGTAGCAGTTAATTAAAATAGAACCCCTTTCCGCTTCGTCTAGGCCGAGGGGTTTTGAGATTTCAAAGATGACAAGTAGCAGCATCCATGGGAGTTGTTCGATAAGGAAGCTGAGTAGCATTTCCCATGACACCAATTTCAACTCTTCCCTTTATGGTTTTACAAACCATCCATTTCCCAGAGCCATCCCTTCACTAAGTTTCAGTATTTCTCCAACTCCTCATCATTTTCCCTTTCGGTCTTTCCTTATTGGGTTTCTTCAAGCTCACCCTTTTTTCCCTTTTAAATTTTCTTCTTCTTGCAGAATGTTGTCATTCCCCTGTTCGTTGCGCCGTCAGTTTCCGTCCTTGCATTGATATTCACAAGGTGAATTCAATACAAAGGAATGGTTTTTGTTTGTTTCTTTACTCGATTTGTTTTTGTTTCAGAAATCTCACTCTTTTCTTCTTTATGTATTTGTGCTTGTGTGGGATTGGGTTTGGGATTTTGCTGTAGTTCTTGACACTTAAATTTTGATTTATTGCTAGGGGAAAGTGAAACAAATTGTTGGGTCAACCCTTAGAGATTCAAAGGAGGATGAATTAGCCCTTGTAACCAATTTCGAATCGGATAAGTCAGCAGCCGAGTTTGCCAAGTTGTACAAAAAAGATGGGCTAACGGGTGGTCATGTAATCATGCTTGGAGCTGATCCTTTGAGCCAAACAGCAGCCATTGAAGCATTGCATGCATATCCTGGTAAAAGCTGATATTTTTTCAGTGATCAGTTTATTCCGATTCTTTGGCTTTATTGTTTAGCATGGTACTTTTTGTGATCTCTGAAATTATTGATTTGAAGATGGATGCAGAGTTAATTGTCAATTTAAGTTGTTGGAACTTTGTTTTCATTTGTAAATGCTTGGCTGTTCTTAGGTAAATTGAAACTTTTAAATGTTGTGTTTCAGATTATCGTATTCTTAGATTATAACTGCAGGCTAGTTTGGTGCATAGGAAGCATTTTACAAGTTATGCAAGTTCATCTTTTGATTCTGATGTTCTTATATCTTTGGATTACTTTTCTTTCTCTTGCTTAAAAGTATTCGAAATCATTGTGAAAGCTTTGAAGGACAGATGCGAATCCTGGTTTAATGTGTACATTTTCAAGTCATGATGCAAGCATATGCTGCTTGTACTGTAGACACGAATGAAGTTTCTTGAGAGTGGCGGTCTCATCCTTGTTATCTATCTTCGGTAATATGTTTAATACTTGCTGATCTTTCCTCTGCTGAATGGAAAGCATATAGGTGGCTTGCAAGTAGGAGGTGGGATCAATTTAGACAATTGTTTGAGTTACATAAATGAAGGAGCCAGTCATGTCATTGTCACTTCGGTACGAAAATCGAATTTTAACATTGTTAGTTGCAAGACAGGGAATCCTGACATATACAGGGTTCGCATAGAGAAAACATGTTGGCCTAATTTCGTTTATATTTTCTTGTTTGATTTATTATAGTATGTATTTAACAATGGAAAAATGGACCTTCAAAGGCTCAAAAGTCTTGTCGATGTTGTTGGGAAGCAAAGACTCGTCTTGGACCTTAGCTGCAGAGAGAAGGTTGGAAATATTTCTGTCTTCAGCATCCTAAATGCTCGGAGAAACCTCTTTTGATATTGCATATGAACATTCTATGTCCTTCTCCTCCCTTACTACCGACTGTTATCTACGGAGTTGATAGAATGCTGAGTTTTGATTTTGGCCGTTGTTTGAATCATAAGGTGGTGATTTCAATTTCAGGATGACAAATATGCCATCGTCACTGACCGGTGGCAAAAATTCAGTGATGTCTATCTTGATGAGGAAGTATTGAATTTTCTTGCCGGATATGCGGATGAATTTTGGTCCATGGTGTGGATGTTGAAGGGAAAAAGTAAGTCCCAACTGTGTTTATGCAAATTGCCCTTAATGCTGGTTCTTATGCTTTTGTAGCTTTTACCTGGTTGCTCTTTTCTTGCAGGCTGGGAATAGACGAAGATCTCGTGGCATTGTTAGGCGAGCATTCTCCGGTTCGTAGTTCCTACATTTGAGCCCGAGGATGTATATTTCAGTTAAAATTTCCCGATATATCACTGTCTTTATTTTGCAGATTCCTGTCACTTATGCTGGCGGTGTGACGGTAATGGATGATCTAGAGACGATCAAAGCAGCAGGGAAGGGACGCGTGGACGTAACCGTGGGAAGTGCCTTGGATATTTTTGGGGGCAACTTAGCTTACAATGATGTTGTTGAATGGCATGAGAATAACCGGAGGGCGACACATTAAACTTCTGGAGCTTCCCGAGGCCTGCTCCGGGGAACTGCCCTGTAAGTTACTTGATGAGCACTCAACGTTAGTAAGCCGGATTTCGGAGGTTGCTTGCTGTTAAGAGCCAATCCTTGATCCGCCCGGCTTCGTAAGTCGCCTCCCGGATTCCCTTCTCGGGGTGGAGGATTTTAGCTGTGTAGTGTTGTGGAAGCTTTTACAAGGAAACTAATGGGATATTTTTATACGAGTCTCTGAATATTTTTAGGTCAAATTAACCCGAAAATATAGAACAAGTTAATTCACTCAAGTTAATTGATATTTTACATATTATTCAATTAAATTAAAAATATTAAGGGTGAAGTACACAAATGATCCATTGACTATAGGAAAATGTTTATTTAGTCTCTCGACAATTAAAAGTTATAAAATGATCATTTAATTATTCATTATGTTTCAAATTCGTCTTTTTCGTTAAAAAATTTATGGCAATTCGAGCTGAATGATAGTTTATTGCCTTAGATATGATAGTTGTTTGGGATTCTGGGATCAGATTTTATCATATGGTATACAACATATTAACATTCAGTTAAGATTATCATCAATTTTTTTTTAAAAAAAATCGAATTTGAAACATAATGATTAATCGGTGATCATTTTATAATTTTTAAAAGTTTGAGAATTCAACAAAACAACATCTAATAATTGAAGAATCATTTTTTAACTTTTTATAATCGAAATTCAACAAAACATCTTATACTCGAGATTAGTTATATACTTTACCATAATATTAATTACATAGTACTGTATTTAGGTATCGATCATTTCTTTATGGACCCCACATTCACTAATTAATGATTGGAAACAAAACCAACCTTCTCTAGCTTCACCGACAATGACAGTGCAGCAAATAATAATTCAAATAATTATATAAAAATCAGCGCATATATGCTCAAGCATTATCTAGGATCAAATTTAATTTGGTGTTTATTTAATTGTTTTATTGATCTATTTTTATTTTCGATTAAATATTAATAAATATTTACAGTTATTGAAGTTAAATTACGATCGAATAGTAATAATGTCAGTTTGCCAATAAATTATGATTATTATGTATATTTTTATATTTGTATCGATTATATCAATTATTTGTTTGAATGGTTTGATTGAGTTTTTTATTTTTTGTATATTAGTTTTTATTCTTAGGTGATTTATTTGTACATTTTAAATATTTTAGGAAAATTATATGATTTAAATGTTCAATTTAGACTTGTTTTTATTTGGATACTCTCTCAGTTTTAGGGTTTTACCTTGATTAATCCGGATTGACCCGTGTCGCATACTTAGTTTAGTGGGTGAGTCTCCCAACGGGAATTTTATGCATACACAAATACTCGTACTCGAAAATAAAAAATTTAAAATACTAGGTTTCCTTGAAGCTCCAATGCACTTGCATGCATGTATCCACCGACGTTGACACGCTTTCTATTTTAAATTTTATCCCAAAGTATCAAATTTAAACCTCACACTGGAAACAAATTCCACACCCCTCTCCCGAAAATAATCCATAATATTTCATTCACAGTTACCTGCTAATTTTTCTGTCTATCCCATCGTTCTTCCTCCGTTTCTGCCGCCCTGAGCCGTCGTCGGCGTCGTCATATTGTCCTTCATTTTTTAAAGAGAATGGTGGCGTTACGAGTTGATCAACTGAAGCAGTTGAAGGGCATTTTCGCGAGGTTCGACATGGATTCCGACGGAAGCCTCACGGTACTCGAGCTGGCGGCGCTGCTGCGGTCTCTGGGGCTGAAACCGTCGGGTGATCAGATCCATGTCCTGTTAGCCAACATGGATTCCAACGGCAACGGTGAGGCGGAATTCGACGAGCTGGTGAACGCTATATTGCCCACGTTGAAAGGAGAGATACTGGTGAACCAAGAAGAGCTCATGGAGGTGTTCCGGCTGTTCGACCGCGACGGTAATGGGATCATCGTGCCGACGGAGCTCGCCGGTTGCATGGCAAAAATGGGTCATCCGTTGACGTATAAGGAGCTGACGGAGATGATGAGAGAGGCGGATTCCGATGGGGATGGTGTTATTAGTTTCAGTGAATTCTCTTCTGTAATGGCGAAGTTGGCCATGGATTTTCTAGGCGTTTCTTTATCGAGATAGTAAACGAGAATATTTATGTTAGGTTATTTGTGAGTTTTTGCCCCTTTATTCTGTGTAAACATCATCGAATAATTTCTCTCTTTATTTTTGTCAAATAATAAGATGCATTAGAACAAGAAATGAGATTTGGGATCCCATGAAAGTACGTTGTTGATTTTTTTGTTATTTTGATTTTAAAGTTTTGTCGTGATTAATTCGGATCAATTCATGCCGTATATTTAGATTTGGCAGCGGCGGGTGAGTGTCCTAGTGGAGATTTTCTACATATACAAGAAGATTCATCCACTAAAATCAAGTGTGTAACGTGAGTCGATTTAAATTAATTAAGACGAAACCCTGAAATCATAAGGGAAAAAAAGGTTTTGAGGCCAAGGGGCATATAAAGCCTTAAATGCTCGTTTGAGTTCTCTGACTTATGATGAGGTAAAGAAATTAAACCATTAAGTCATTTTTAAAATCAATTTGGTATCTATTAAAAATACTATAGTTAATGATAAACTAGTCATGATCACAAGACGAGTTTACTCAAATTATATTTTTTTATTCAAACTTATTATGTCGAAATGAAGAATTTTTATAAATATAATATTTTTATTAGATTTTGTCACGCCAAAGTGACAAATTTCAAGTCACTGTAATAAACATATTAGTTTCCAAAATAAAAAAAATGATTTTATGTTGGGCTAAATAATTAGTCCGCCTCCTAAATTGGGCCAAAATTTCCCTTATTACGATAATGTCTTCTGAATAGCCCACTCATACAAAATCCATAGATAAAATTGACCCAACAGGCCATGTGAGTAAAATAAATTAGACCATTAGATCATCTCCAAAATTAATTTGAGATCTAGACAAATACTACAATGTAGGAAAACATTATCACACCCACATGACGAGTTTGTTCAAATAATATTTTTTATTTAAACCCGTCACGTTAAAGTGAGGAGTTCCAAGTCACTGTAGAAAATGTCCTAGTTGTCAAAATAAAAAAAAATATGGTGTTTAACCCACCCTATTATATTAGGCAAAAATTTCTCTTGTCACAGCGATGCCATCCGAATAGCCCACTCATGCAAAATTCAAAGATAAAATTGACCCAACAGGTCATGCGAGAAAAAAAAAATTATCCCCTTAGATCATTTCCAAAATTAATTTGAAATTTAAATAAATACTATAGTGTAAGACAACTTTGTCACACTCACATGATGAGTTTGCCTAAATAAATTTTTTATATTCAAATCCATCACGTTAAAGTAAGAAATTTTAATAAAATATAATTTTTTATTAGTTTTGTCACGTTGGTGTGATATATTCTAATAAAAAATATATTTTATTAAAATTCTTCATAACTACATGACTAATTTTAAATCACTATAACAAATATCGTAATTATCAAAATAAAATATCAAATATTCTATTAGCCTAAATAATTAGCCTACGATATCATTGGGCCAAAGTTACCAAATTCAAATGCTAACTAAAATATTTAAAGTCAAATCGATTTGATTTTTAGTTGTCCATTTCAAAGATTATATTGGTTGAATTTGATTGATTTAAAATATTAAAAGTTATCTTTAGTGTTAAATAAATAATTATTATAAAATATACATTTTTATCTAAAAATCACTTAGAAAATCAATTTATTAATTAACAAACTTTTAAAATTAATTCTCAAATTAACATCCTTATGATAAAAATGTGTCCTATTAGCTATACTTTCAAAATACACTTTTAATAGGAAATGTCTTCTATTGATAAATGTTGGACAAAAATAAAAAAAAAATTATACAAATTTTATCTAAAAAAATAAATACTCGATGTGTATCGAAGACAAACATGGTCATTCCAAGTAACAATAACATGTATATACTAATTTGCCTTCAATCACTCTTGATCACAAGCGTAAAAGATTATATTTAAACACTTAAAATAATCACATGTCTAAAATAATGTGTAATTTGAAAAGGAAATAACTAAATATGATAATTTTAAGCGGATAAAGATAGATTTTGAATTTGATCATAGACAGATGAATTTAAATTGAATATCATAGAGATTTATAAGGAAATAAGTTTCTAATTCAATTTTTTTATTCACAATATTAAAGTTTGAGTCTTTATCTTTAAGATATTTTAATTGAAAATTTAAAATATAACACAAATATAATAAACGGATTACATTTCAAAGAGTGAAGTAAAACAAGTTGTACATATACACACCTTTAAGACCCCCACCTAGCTACTATCATGTTATAATGTATGTTCACACCTTCCACCTAAACTGACCCAAACCACCAGTAAAACTAAAACCCAAGCTTCCATGGCAGACTTTCAAACTCTAAGCAGATAAACGCTAAGTTCAGGAGCACCGTTGCTATCGGGATTCATCATATAGAAAGCTTCGGAGTCTCTCGACCCGACGATTCTCTCGAACGTGGCTCTCATGTACATAACTTCACCATCTTCGATTCCGGTCGCCGGTAAAACTCCGGCTCCCATGGAGATTGGTTCCAGTGCTTTCAGGGTGTTCCGTTCAATTTCTCCGTAGTCCCTCCTCGTCGCGAACCCACATTTCTTTCCGTTGCAGTAAGTTCTGAAAGCGGTCTCTTCGAGCAATCTGACGGTCGAACTCGGACCCTTGTTGTTACGGTCTTCTTCTTTGCGTTTATCGCACTCCAGAGCGATCCTGACCAGCCCGGACGCCATTTCCCGGACCAAACCGCTTATCGGCGTGGCGAGTTCGACGAGGAAAGCCGGCGGGGAATTGGGTTCTTTCTGCAAGGCGAAATGAACGTGTCCACCACGCCTGTAACCGAAAAGAGTGCCGATCACTCGTGACCCGAGCACCGAACGGCTCTTCCTGAAAGCCGACACGACGGATCGAAGACTGGCGATGGGAACCGACGCGGCTGCCGGAAGCTTTTTCTTCCGCGGCGTCGGCAGAGAAACAGCTGCATGGGGTTTAAGAGTTATTGTTCTTCTTCTTCTTCCTCCTCCTCCATTGGTGTCTTCTTCACCAGAGTTTGAAGAGGCTATGGTTGCCATAACTGGGTTTAAGATATGAGAAAGGAGAACACAAGAGCCTTAAAGAGTATGAGGAACACAGAGGGTCAAGGTTTTATTTTTTCAATGCCTTGGATTACATTCATTTGTGGGGCTTGTTGGTATTTAATTCTTTGTTTATAGTTCTTTGGTTTAGTGAAAGAGAATCCTGACAAAACAAATGCATCAATGCTGTCCCACACAGTCAATTTAGGGACTGGATTAACGTTCGTATTGTTTTTTAGATTAGAATGAAAATTATACACATAATGATAAACTATATGCAAATAGTCTCATTTGTTTTTTATCTTACCGACTTTGTTCATCAATTTAAAAATTAAGGGTACATGAATCCTAAGTTATCGACCTGTTTGATTTTAGTCCCTCAGCTATGTCATATATTCGTTAAAGGTTAACGGCTGAAGGACTTAAACTGGACAAACCAATAATGTACCATTTACCCTTATTTTTTAAATTGATGACCAAAGTCGAATAGACCCTAAACAAAAAGGACTATTTGCATAGTTTACCCAAAATATTAATATGTGTATTAATAGTTTGGATTCCGCCTGTTTTTTTTTTAATATAATTTATGTCTTACCATTACATCTGAAATAATATTAAAATGTTAAAGATAACTATAAATTTTATCTAAAAATTATGTACAATACGTATTAACGACACGTATCTACATGAATACAATCTGTGTTAGACAATAGCGACATATGTATATAAACTTCTTCCATCATTAAATGAGAATTTATTTAAAAAAATATATATTTTAACACTTTAAAAATCAATATCTAAATAATATGAGATTCAAAGAATCTTATTGTTAAAATTATCGATTTTGAGGTGTCAAAGTATGTCATCAATTTTGATAAGAGTCGTATTAATACAATAATTAAAAAATCAAATAATGTGAATATGAAATATTTTATAAGACAACAACTAACATGAAAATTTTAAGTATCTAAAATTTCTTTTAATAACAAATTTTTTTAAACCTCGTATTATTTTATATGAATTTTTTAAATAATTAAATATAAATATTTTGAACCTACAATAATTAAATAATTAAAGATTAAATTTATAAACAACGTTGTTATCATCATCTAACCTAACTCGTGCTCGTACAAGCATGTTTAATTAGGGTTCATTGACAATTGCATTATTGTTTTCATAAAACGAATACATTTAGCCATACATACATAGGTAAAATTCACTGAGAATTTCAGGGTGGAATAAAGCTGCAGTATGTCCCAAGTACTCCCAATCATTGCCATTGGGTGCACCAATATTGTGGGGATTGATGCCCTACAAATTCATCTAAACCCTAATCATAGAAGTCATCAAAAAGCAAAAATATTTTATAATAATAAAAAGTTCCAAATTCCTTACCCCTGGCATGACCCTTTCCTTTATATGTTGACTACTTTTATTTTTCTTTCTTATCCTTCGCGTCTAAAGTTTGGTATTGGTTAATCTGAATCGACTTGAGTCACACATCTGACTTTAGAAAATAAGTCTTTCAGCGAAGATTTTCTGAATACATAAGGACTCGAATCTAATATCTTACTTAAGCGATATTAAGTTGATTATCATTTGAATCAATATCCGTTGGAATATTCAAATTTCATGTGCTATTTCTTTCTCGTGAAATTAGGGTATTATATATTTATCCTTTTCTCTTATGAGATTATGATTCACTTATATAATATAACATCCTTTAATTTTACACAGATTTAAAACTATTTGACGAATAAAAATAGATGACAGATATCGAATCTATGCCAGTATACGTTTATGGTGGTGGTTTACAAAAGGGTTATAAGTTGTCCCGCCCGACCACGTTTCCTAGTTTCATGGCTTTCGTGCCCTCTCGCAGGGGAAAAAAAGTTAAAAACAGCAGTGGCATTCTTTCATTGCTTTGTTTGTTCTTTTTTATTTTTATCATGTACTCATCATTCTTCAATAGTTAGGTCACTTTGCTTTGTTGATTTTAGGGTAAACTATGCCGATAGTCTCTTAAGATTTTAGTATAACCGGACTTTGGTCATCAGTTTAAAAATTAATGAGAATTGTCTCTAACGTATGGATCATTTCCCCTTAATTTTTAAATTAGTGACCAAAGTCCGTCAAACCCTAAACATAAGGGACTATCCGCCTAGTTTACCCTTAATTTTGCATCATTATTTCATTATATATTATCCACTGAAATGGGGTTGCTGGTTATATAGATTATAACCAACTTGATCTTCATTATTTCAGCTCTCTCTCAAGCCTGAAGGTTTAGTTTTCTATAATTATATAGAGTGTACTGTATCGATTGTTCGAGTGGCAGTTGAGTTTTCTATTTTTACGACGCATGCGTGATATTATATAGGGTAAATTACGTATTTAGTATCTAAACTATCAATTTATATCCGTTTAGTACCTAAACTTTCATTTTTTAAAAACCGTATCTAAAATTTAGTTTTTGTTTCATTTTAATACCCTTGTTCAAAATTTAACGTTAAGTTTTTGAAAAAAAATTAAAATATTAGGTACTAAAACGGACCAAAGTTGATGGTTTAGGTACTAAACGCATTAAGTTTTTAACAATGTGGTACTAAAATGAAATAAAAACTAAATATCAGGTATGATTAAAAAAAATGAAAGTTTAGGTACTAAAATAGACCAAAACTAATAGTTTAAGTACTAAATTCATAGTTTATACTATTAAATATAACAATGCAAGCACTTGTTCTGTGATCCCATAATACATTGCAGTAGTTGCAGTGAAGTCAATTACACTAAGTTGGGGTTGGGATTTTCTGTCATTTTCAGAGTCATGGTTAGGGGTGTTCACTTTAGAATTTTAATATAATTAATTGATTAAATCGAATTAGTTCGGTTAATTTCTACTCGAAAAACTGTGAATATCATTCTAAAATACATGTATCAAATTTTGAAAATTGTCATTATTGTATGAACAACTTGAATTCATTGTGTTAGAAAGATAATCTTATTAAATTTTAAAGATAATCAATATTTAGAAATACAAATTCAAACTACACATACGATATGTGTTTAAAATTTGATTTCAAAATTTAAAATTTATTTCACGTTAGACCATAATGGACATTTAATGCTCCAATGGTTTGTTAAATTAATATGATTCCGAAATATTTTTTCGAATCAAATGATTATAGTAGTTAAAAGATTAATTGTTATTTTTATAGACCCGTTTCAAACCATAACAACTATAGGGTATTTGGGCTCTGCATTCGAACCGGTAGGAAAAGCACTGACAGGGGTGATCCTGTGAATTTGTTGCTCTGCTCTAGATGAGGGATTCTTTTATACCCTTGATTGGGGTTCTGGATGTCAAATAGCAGTTTTGCTGCTTCTTTGAGTACAAATCAAGTGGATTCCATGGTAAAGGAATCACAGTTATTCTTTGAGGATTCGGTTCGAGCACCATAGATGTTAGGGTTGTGAACATTTAATGTCGAAAGATTGAGAATTATCTATGAACAGATACTATCTTGTACTTGTACTTAACCCAAATTAATAAAAAAAACACTTTGATTCGATTTCATTACATGTAAATAAAAACATTGACAACGTTGTATAGACAAGTCTAAACAACTTCATACATCAACAACAATAAGCACTTGGTACGAGATGGAGAGGCAACTTTTTAGAGGCTGCAATGAAGAAGGTTTCGGTCATGTCCATGCTCTGACGATCAGCATCATCCGCTAATCTCCAATCAAACCAATACAAAAGATTGGCAATCACAGATTCAAGAACACAGACCCCAAATGATATCCCAGGGCAACGTCTTCTTCCCACACCAAATGAGATGAACTCGAAGTTCGAACCCCTGAAATCAATGGCGTTGTTTTCAAATCTCTCGGGGATGAACTCTTCTGGGTTTTCCCAAACAATCGGATCCCTTTGGATGGCCCATGCATTGATGAGAACTCTTGTTTTAGGCAAGATGTCGTAGCCTTTTAGCTCGATTCCGGCCGATGTTTCACGGGGCACCAACAGAGGAGCAGCAGGGTGAAGTCTTGGAGTTTCTTTGACGATGCATTTCAGATACTCCATTTTGTTGATGTCATCTTCTTCAACTTTTCCTTTTACATTCACCACTCTTCGTACCTCTTCTTGGATCCTTTTCAACACACTTGGATTCTTCAAAAGCTCCGCCATAGCCCATTCTGTTGTTGTTGAAGTGCTCTCGGTTCCCGCCAGGAACATGTCCAGTAAAATTGCCTTGAGGTTGCTCATCGTGAGCTTTGTGTCTTGATCGTTTTGGAGTAAAATGGAGGAGGATTTGCACAATGTTGTTTTCTGAACTCTTGGTTTGCTCTTCAAAGACTGAATCGAGGAAAGAATCCATTTCATCGAAGGTTGCTTTGAGGCGTCCGATGAGTCCAGTAAGAACATCAAGCCATCGGAGACCGGGGAACAAATCTCCGATGCTAAAATCCGAGAATGTCGTCACGAATCTCTTGGAAAACTCCCCGAAATTCGCATCATCTTTGGCCTTTTTTCCGATGATGCATCTAGAAGATATAGTATGCGAAGTTTCAAGCAACATTAGGCTTAGATTTACCGACCTTCCATTGGAACATCCATGGCGTATTCTGTTGATCAGCGAAGCGACTTCTTCTCGAACGAACCGGAACGATTGAACCCTTCTTTGGGTTAGGAGTTCCAAAACACAAATCTTTCTAGCTGTTCTCCAGTACTCGCCGTACGGTGCCAAAAAGAAGTCCGAGCGTCCGTAAAGCATGATTTTTGCTGCCTTCAAGTTTGGTCGATCAGAGAAGACGATATCATGATTCTTCACCATTTCTTCGACGATGTCGGGTGATGAAATCACGAGTGTTGGGACCTGGCCGAGCTTTAGAAGCATCAGAGGGCCGTACTTGTCGGAAAGAGATCGTAGGGAGCGGTGGGGGAGTCTGCCGAGCTGATGGAGGTTGCCAATGATTGGTAGTTTTGGCGGCGACGGAGGCGGATTCTTCCAGTGACTACGATGTTTGAAGTACCTGAGGAAGGCGTTGATGAAGAGGAGGATAAGAAGCGACAGAAG